GTGTGAGTGTGTGTGTGTGTGTGTGGCTCCAGATTAAAACAGAAAAACTGAGATTAAACCCAGAAAGTTGGGAGTCAGTTTAATATTTTCTGAATGAGTCAGAAATCGACTACAGTTGAATTCAAACAGCTGTTATTTGTGCTCTGCTGTCCAGATCACCTGACCTCACAGAGGGCGGAGCTTGTACGGGTCAGCAGCGCCTCACCTTACACACGCCTGGAGCGGAGGAAAAGCCTTCTCCTCCCGCGCTATCAGCGGTATCTGGTGGTATCCCAAAACATCCCTCTCCGCCGAACAAAGGGACAAGAGCCGTGCTCGGTGATCCAGCAGGGATAAAAATAGACTCCCCGCTGACGGCCGTGTTTCATGACCTGTGCTCGGAGCTCTTGGTTTACACATGAAGAGGTGGTCTCAGGCTCGGTGACTCAGCTCAGGACTCGTTCAAACAAGGATCGGCTTTCTCTTTCTTCTTTTTTTACACATCCAGGATCAGCCAGCCTCTCCTCCTCACAGCCTGGATGCAGCCTGAAACTTGAGAACGGGGGGAGCCGGGCGTTCTCACGCATGTCACACACACACCACACACACAATGTCCTGTAGGGGACTGAGAGGGTCTGGTGGTGTGTGAAGCAGACATGATCTGCCTGAGAAATCAGAGAAATCCACCTTTAGAGGGAGGCTGTTTCTTTGGTTCTGAGTGTCGCTGCACTCCAAGGACCATCAAAGCATTACATCATGGTGGAAAAATCCACGAGGGGAGCTGCGAGCTTTTCCAGCCGAGGTTTGCTGCACATCAATCAGAGCTCAGCAGAAAAGCCAGAAACAAAGGCTTTAGAAAAGACTCCAGTTTTCCTGTGAAACAGGCGGGCTGCTGCACGGACGCGCTCGTGACCGACTCAAGCCATCGTCTCTGAACACAATCTGCATAAAACAGTCGACCAGGTCGCCTACGGAGGACAATCTTCATGTTTAACATGCTGGTGTTCATGTTTGCATGGGAGAAACCTCTAGTCAGGTTGTGCAAAGAGCAGAGTTTATCTTGAATTCACCGACTCAAGAACATTCCAGAACTATAATGGGAATCGTTTCTCCCACTCCGTGTCATAAGTGCATGCAGCGTGCCTTGGAGCGCAGAAACAATGGCTTCTTTCACTGCCTGCACCCGGCCGGAGATGGGGAGGTGCATCATGGGAAGCAGGCAGGCTCTTACAGTTGAGCGCAGATACTTCAGAGGGGCCTCGCACAAACCCGGGCAACAAGGAACGGCACTGAAAGCATCAGACGCGGGTCTGACGGAGACGATGAAACGCTGCTCCGGGGTTTACAAACAGGAACTTCACAGATGTCTTCTGGCTCCTGCAGATGTTTAGAGAGACCTGCAAACGTCCGTCTCCAGAAAGACTCAGGTTCATGGTGGCCGCTTGTACGAACTCAGGAATGTTCCCATCCGATGAATGAAAACAAAAAGTCCACTTCAGCCTTGAGTGCCAGTGTGGCTGTGAAGCTGCACCGTCTAAAACATGAGAGATGGTGTTGAGAGCGAATAACAGAGATGTTGACTCCAGCGTGTTCACATGCACATCTGAGAGGATCTACAATAATAAAGTGGGAGCCTTTCTCCTAGTTCAGCTGTACGCTAGAACACCAACCCTCAAAAGAGGTTTTATCCCTCCGCTACAGCAGGTGGCGACGTGCGCTCTTTGGTGTCGGCGTTCTTTCGGTTAGCTTATAGCAACAGATAGTGAACAAACGCTGGAGGGAGAGACGCAGACGGGGTAAAAGAGGACATGAACAACGGCTGAAGCGCAGCCGGACTGTTGATGGTTACGCGTGCTGCTTTATGGTGTCCATGTTTTCAGAAGACCGCTTCCACGGCTCGCCACTTCTGGAAGTTACCGGTATCAGCTCGACTGATCCGTTTACATGCAGATGCAGCCATTTTCTTCACGCATCAGTCCGGTGTCCTCCAGAAGTAAAGTTTCCTGAAATCATTCATGTGTGTGTGTGCGTGTGTGTGTGTGTGTGTGTGAGTGTGTGTGTGTGTGTGTGTGTGTGTGTGTGTGTGTGTGTGTGTGAGTGTGTGTGTGTGTGTGTGTGTGTGTGTGTGTACGTGTGTGTGTGTGTGTGTGTGTGTGTGTGAGTGTGTGTGTGTGTGTGTGTGTGTGTGTGAGTGTGAGTGCGTGTGTGTGTGTGTGTGCGTGTGTGTGTGCGTGTGTGTGTGTGTGTGAGTGTGTGTGTGCGCGTGTGTGTGTGTGTGTGTGAGTGTGTGTGTGTGTGTGTGTGTGTGTGTGTGTGTGAGTGTGAGTGTGTGTGTGTGTGCGTGTGTGTGTGTGTGTGTGTGTGCGTGCGTGCGTGTGTGCGTGTGTGTGTGTGTGTGTGTGAGTGTGTGTGTGTGTGTGTGTGTGTGTGTGTGTGAGTGTGAGTGTGTGTGAGTGTGTGTGCGTGCGTGCGTGTGTGTGTGCGTGTGTGTGTGTGTGTGTGAGTGTGTGTGTGTGTGTGTGTGTGTGTGTGTGTGTGTGTGTGTGTGTGTGTGTGTGTGTGTGAGTGTGTGTGAGTGTGTGTGCGTGCGTGCGTGTGTGTGTGCGTGTGTGTGTGTGTGTGTGTGGTGTGTGTGTGTGTGTGTGTGTGTGTGTGTGTGTGTGTGTGTGTGTGTGCTTGTGTTTTTATGTTTAAGTGGACATATTTTGACCTTTGACCTATAACGTTTGGACATTTTCACATAGTGGGGACATTTTGCTGGTCCTCAGAACAACCATGAGTGCAGGGTGGGACCTAAACATCCTCCCAGAGGAACTCCTCCAACCATCCAACAACAGTTTGGTGATGAACAATGTCTTCTCCAGCCTGAGAACAGACCAGAAGCATAAAGTCAGAACTAAGTTGGGTCCAGTCCAGGAAACTCCCCAGACCCTAATCCCACTGAGAACGAGTGGTCCATCCTCCAGCGACAGGAGGACCACACAAACTCAACACCGATGATGAAGAAGGAGCTGTACCAGTCTGGATCTGGGCCAGAAGATGATGGACAGAAGGTGGACAGCAGACAGACCTGGACTGGCCTATAAAACGCTGGCATTCACCCTCAGTAACCATAGAAACCGCTGGTGAAAAGACTGAAGCAGCAAAGCCCTTCTCAGAGCCTTCAGCTGGACCTCTGACTGTCAGGAGGCTTTAGATCTTCTGGACCCTCTTCCTGAAGCACATGTAGACCTTTAGCAGTTAAACTAACACAGATTCCACCAGAGATGCACACCATCAGCTCTCTGGATCCGGCTCCAGCAGAAGGAATGCTCCAAAGTTACAAATGTGCTTTTCCTGTAGAGACAAGCCAAAATGTCTGCTACGAAACACCTGCTGAGTCAGAGCTGCATTCCTCCACCGAGGCAACAAAGAGCGGAGGCAGCGAGCTGGCTGTGGTCCCTCTCACGCCCGCGGTTAAAGTCAAAAACACACTCTAGCGCCAAACTCAGCCCGTTCTCTCAGGAGGAGAAGCGTCTACGCTGAGGCCAACAACATCAAACCTCTGACCCGCAGAGCTCGACACAAACAGCAGAACCGGGTCTGGTACCACCCAAACAAACAGCTTCCTGCAGCACCTGGTCACATGACTCCAACCTGCTGTCGGCTCACGTGTGGAGACACCTTCCTCTACACGACGCTCCTGATGAGAGCACCAACGAGTAGTGTGGTAGGAGTCCTTGTGCGCTCTGGGAATTGGAGTCCGTTGTGAGAATTCCCAGGTTTAACAAATAAAAACATGGAGCGGATTAGATCCACGGGTTTGTTGAGTGTTTCTGTGTAAAATAAATAAAATGAGTCATTAATTAATAAACTCATCACTAGTTTTTTTACTCAGAGACAGCCTCTGTGTTTACATCCATTAGGTCTGATGAGCTATGGCTAGTCTGGGAATAACCACAGAATTCCATTGCCACTGGGAATTCCAACAGGACAATGGCCTTAAATGCACGTCTGAGCTGATTCCTGATCGGATGGAGCAGTTCCAGTGTGTAACCCCTCAGTTTAAGTCGTAGTGGCATCATTCTGTTACAGAACACCATCGATGCAACACCCAGTGTGTGTTCAGCACCTGTCCACACCTACATGCATGTCTGAGTCCCTCAGTGTGCTCCACGCTTCCGCATCCCAACTTCTTCAGGTTTTATTTGTGGTTTTAGTGGTGGAAGGTTACAGTACTAGACTACTGCCTATGTGCATGTATGCGTGTACCTTTGTTGTTATTTATCGTCTCCCAGGTGTTGGTGCTGCTGTAACAAAAGAATCTCCCCACGGTGGAACCAATAAGGTCCATCTATTCTACTCTAACAGGAAGCCTCTTCCCAAAGCCCTGACTGAAGCTGAACTCTGACCTCAGACCAGCGAGGAGCCGGAACAGGGGCTTCCTGATGGAGACAACGTGTTGGGTTGGTGTAACTGATCAGTGGGACTGTACAGAGCTTCCAGGCTGAAGGGGAGAAATCCACAGCATGGTCACAATGGTGACTCACGACCACAGCGCTGAACACGCTCATCTGGCCTCACATCTGGTGTCTCTTTAGGAATTCACCGGTGAAGAAGACGAGCATGAAGGACACGACGAGAAGCCCGAGTGCTTCAGGACTCCACGTGGTCCGAGAGCTCGTCTACCGGAGCCACAAACCACGTAGTGATCCACTTACGGGTCAGATCTTTATGTTTTATGTACTTTATAACACACACACACACACACACACGCGTGTGCACGCGCACGCACACACACACACACACACACACACACCTTAAGAATTTTTACTGAATAATAAAACTGTCTCAAACCAACACCTGCAAAGGAAGTCAGACAAGGAAGCTTGATTTCCTTTGCAACAGTTTGCTCTAAATGGAAACACACACACACACACACACACACACACACACACACACACACACACACACACACACACACACACACACACACACACACCACGAGCAAAAACAAACATGGAGCGCTTCAGTTTACTTACAGATTTGTCCTTCATCTTCTGGAGCTGATTACTGATCATTTATCCTCGAGCGGCGTGACGACTCATCCCTGTCAGGTCAAAAGGTGAAGGGTCGGCCGAATGATTGGCAGGTTGGTGCTGCACGAGGAGGGAGGGAGTCCCTGTAGCATGGAGACAGATCGTCCTATCATCCACAGTCATCATCATCCTCTCTCTCTCTCTCTCTCTCTCTCTCTCTCTCTCTCTCTCTCTCTCTCTCTCTCTCTCTCTCTCTCTCTCTCTCTCTCTCTCTCTCTCTCTCTCTCTCTCTCTCTCTCTCTCTCTCTCTCTCTCTCTCTCTCTCTCTCTCTCTCTCTCTCTCTCTCTCTCTCTCACACACACACACACACACACACACACACACACACACACACACACACACACACACACACACCGCTCCTCTAACTCTGAAAGTTTTCTGTAGATAATGAATGAGTCTACAGGACAAAAGAGACTGAAGAAAAGCAAATAAAACTAAATAAATGCAGGTAATCACATTCTCCACTAATTATTGTTCCGTTTGATGAATAAAATAAAGTCAAACGTTTTAACTCATAAAAGTTTAACAGGCTGAAAATAAAAGTTTCAAACATTTGAGTCAGTACTCGAACCTTTACCTGCTGTTTCTAAAATTAAACTGAGCCACAAAATCAACTAGAAAATTTAACAAAATGAAATAAGGAAATAATTAAATATTTATTCATTATTTTAAGCTTTAGAGAAAAATGTCATCTATTTATAAAAGAAAATAACTGGGTGAGTTTTTTCTAAAATAAGTCAAACACAGACTTAATTAGCAGGGGCGGGACTTTAACGAGTTAATTATGATTAATTAATTAGAAGAAAACGACGCGATAAAAAATACACGCATCTAATCACAGCTTGCATTTCAAGCAAGGTGGAACCTTTGTCATTGCACGATTTCCCGGTAGACCAAATATCACTGAAAACACACAACACAGTGCCCAGCTAACGGCTACTAACATGGAATTATTCAATGAAATTACCTTGACTGATGCAGTATTTTGGAAAACACGTCAGCCTTTTATCTGAACTTAAAAATACTAAAAAACTTACTGAAAACTACGGAGTTCGTGCTGCGGACAGAGATCGTCTCTGATCTCTGCTGTGGCTGCTGCCCGGCGGCACTTTACAAAAGTCCACTTTGCATAATCTAAACGGGAGTTAACGGGAGGTAATGAAGGCGTGAATAACTGACTCTAAATGCCTCCACTTCAGAAAAGGTCTAAGATGAGCCAGATGACGTCACTGATAAAAACAGGACCTTGCAACAGAATTGATCTGAGAAGCCTCTGAGACGTCAGCATCCAACTTTCCAAATCCAAAGACTCGTTACACACTGCGTGTGGTTTAAAGTTATAGAACCAAATCCAGAATTAGAGCAAGAGGGCTTCCGGGTATCAAAGACGATGGACTCAGATTTGAGCTCATTTAGTTTAAGAAAATTAGCAGCTAGCCAGCCCGTTATGTCCTCCATGCCGAGAGATGAGAGTCTGCGTTACTGCCATTTAGTGTCACATAAATCTGGCAGTCATCAGCATAAATATGATAGCTGATACCATGCAAGCCAAAGCTTTTGGCAGGTGATGTATTGAAAAGAGGAGTGGCCCAAGGACGGAGCCCTGCGGCACACACACACACACACACACGTTACAGAATGCTTTTTCTGCGACTGGAAAATGTATGAAACTGTTCAAACGATGAAACAAAAATGTGTCAGATACTTTCTGATCACGGTCGTTTTCTCCAAGGAAAATTCATCCATGAAACTGAAAATCTCAAATGAAACCCAGATATTTGTTCTAAAGTCATTAGTTTGATGTTACGTCAACGTTTAAACTGAAAACAGTAAAAGAGGAACTGGAATATGAGAAAAGATTTACCGAGCAGACCCTGCAGCTGACACACACACACACACACACACACACACACACACACGCACACACACACACGCACACACACACACACGCACGCACACGCGCACGCACGCACGCACGCACACACACACACACACTGATGGCTTTTACACGTGACCGACGTGGACTCAGACGGTATTGACCTTTAACCCCATCCTGAATGACCCTAACTGTCTGATGGAAGACGAGGCTCTACAGGACTCCTCCTCCCAGAGAGCGGCAGGTAAGGGTCTGAACTCTGAACATGAACATGTCACAAACGTCCAGGTCTCCTCAGCAGGAGACACACTGCTACTTAAAAAAATAAGAAATTTAATCTAAACATGACCCTAACCAACAAGTTTGGCTTCAAATCTAAAAATAACAATATGCATCTAACTATTTAGAACTAATCTAAACAAAAGTCCAAATCTAAAACATTTGGGTTTATCTAAATAGTTTTAAATCTGAAAACTGAAATCTAAATGCTGATTCATGAATATAAACGTCTTAAGACTGCAGGAAACCAGAAGCAGCCCGCCAAAATAAAAGACAGATCATCTAGAGATAAATGAATAGAATATAACGTCATAATGATTAAATAAATAAAGATATTAATTACTCCTGTTCAACCTGAACAGATCAGATTTATCCTACAAGAGTCAGGAGGACCCGGCTCGTTGGGCCAGAACCAACGTGCCTGGATCATCGTCTGAGTGGGCGGGGCTGACGCTGCTGGATCACACCTGGTCAGCTGGCTCCCTGCAGCCTGTATTCTAGCCATGCAACTGCAGCACTGACCTGGGATCTGGTGGTCATCTCTACTGCTTGTTTTTGGGGCTAAAACATAATCTGACGCCCCATAGCTTCCATGCTGCCTGGCAGCGTTCCTCTGTTAGGTTAAAGCAGCGGGAATCATCTGACCTCCTGTTGACAGTTAGGAAAATATGAAGATGATTTCACCACAGCAGGAGCTGGCTTCACGGAGAAAACGCTTCATGTTTCCACGTCTGGATGGAAAATCTACGTCATCATCTCGGCGATCTGCCCTCAGCTCAGATGTGTTTGTTTTTAACGTGTTCTGATGCTAATGATAGTAAGTGATGGGGAGCGGTGCTGCAGGGCCGAGACGACCCCCTCCACCTCCTCCTCGGGCTGTGAAACGGTGAAAAGCCACAGACACAAATCCTGCTGATCTCGTTGAGAGCTTACAGGTTTACAGTGCTGCTCGGGGGCTTGGTGAAGGAAGTGGGTTCATTACAGCTCGCACACGCCCAGTCTCCCCCTTCCCTCCCACCTCTACACCAACCACCTGTTCTCGTCTCACAGGATGCCCCCCCCCCATCTCCTAACCATTGTCTCCGCCTTTACAGCTGCACGTCTTTATCAAACCGCACAGCCAACGTGTTCCAGCGCCTCAGCAGAAGCAGGTTGTTTACCAAGAACTCACTCTCTACTGACAGGCAGGAGCCTCCACAGCCAGAAAACACCAGTAACACCAGTGACACCAGTAACACCAGTAACACCAGTGACACCAGTAACACCAGTGACACCAGTAACACCAGTGACACCAGTAACACCAGTAACACCAGTGACACCAGTAACACCAGTGACACCAGTGACACCAGTAACACCAGTAACACCAGTTACACCAGTAACACCAGTGACACCAGTGACACCAGTAACACCAGTAACACCAGTGACACCAGTGACACCAGTAACACCAGTAACACCAGTAACACCAGTAACACCAGTGACACCAGTGACACCAGTAACACCAGTAACACCAGTGACACCAGTGACACCAGTGACACCAGTAACACCAGTGACACCAGTGACACCAGTGACACCAGTAACACCAGTGACACCAGTAACACCAGTGACACCAGTAACACCAGTGACACCAGTAACACCAGTGACACCAGTAACACCAGTGACACCAGTGACACCAGTGACACCAGTAACACCAGTAACACCAGTGACACCAGTAACACCAGTGACACCAGTGACACCAGTGACACCAGTGACACCAGTAACACCAGTAACACCAGTGACACCAGTGACACCAGTGACACCAGTAACACCAGTGACACCAGTGACACCAGTAACACCAGTGACACCAGTGACACCAGTGACACCAGTAACACCAGTGACACCAGTGACACCAGTAACACCAGTAACACCAGTGACACCAGTAACACCAGTGACACCAGTGCCACCAGTAACACCAGTGCCACCAGTAACACCAGTAACACCAGTGACACCAGTGACACCAGTGACACCAGTAACACCAGTAACACCAGTGACACCAGTAACACCAGTAACACCAGTGACACCAGTAACACCAGTGACACCAGTAACACCAGTGACACCAGTGACACCAGTAACACCAGTAACACCAGTGACACCAGTAACACCAGTGACACCAGTGCCACCAGTAACACCAGTGCCACCAGTAACACCAGTGACACCAGTGACACCAGTAACACCAGTGCCACCAGTGCCACCAGTAACACCAGTGACACCAGTGACACCAGTAACACCAGTGACACCAGTAACACCAGTGACACCAGTAACACCAGTGACACCAGTAACACCAGTGACACCAGTGACACCAGTAACACCAGTAACACCAGTGACACCAGTAACACCAGTGACACCAGTGACACCAGTGACACCAGTAACACCAGTAACACCAGTGACACCAGTGACACCAGTGACACCAGTAACACCAGTAACACCAGTGACACCAGTAACACCAGTGACACCAGTAACACCAGTAACACCAGTGCCACCAGTAACACCAGTGACACCAGTGACACCAGTAACACCAGTAACACCAGTGCCACCAGTAACACCAGTGACACCAGTGACACCAGTGACACCAGTAACACCAGTGCCACCAGTGACACCAGTGACACCAGTAACACCAGTGACACCAGTAACACCAGTGACACCAGTGACACCAGTGACACCAGTGACACCAGTAACACCAGTGACACCAGTGACACCAGTAACACCAGTGACACCAGTGACACCAGTGACACCAGTGACACCAGTAACACCAGTAACACCAGTGACACCAGTAACACCAGTGACACCAGTGACACCAGTGACACCAGTAACACCAGTAACACCAGTGACACCAGTAACACCAGTGACACCAGTAACACCAGTGACAGCAGTAACACCAGTGACACCAGTGA